CACTTCCGATCCCCGCTAGTGGGTGTAACGCTAGCACTTCCGATCCCCGCTAGTGGGTGTGTAACACTTCTGATCCCTGCTAGTGGGTGTAACGCTGGCACTTCCGATCCCCGCTAGTGGGTGTGTAACACTTCCGATCCCCGCTAGTGGGTGTAACGCTGGCACTTCCGATCCCCGCTAGTGGGTGTAACGCTGGCACTTCCGATCCCCGCTAGTGGGTGTAACGCTAGCACATGTCGACATGTTTACTGATATGACCGGTTTGTTCTGACGCCTGCCTCTGGGCGAATACATTGGTAAATTTCTGTCGCCTGCCAATGGGTTGTTATAACACTGGCCATGACTTATAGATGAGACTACTGATGAGATTTATTCTGCATGAACGGTTTGTCATGAAACACTGTTATTGAACTGAACGGGACTTTGCATTAACGGTTTGTCAGGAAACATTTTGTTATTGAACTGAATCTGATTTTGCATTGACGATTTTGTCATTGAACGTTTTGCTATTGAACCGAATTTGATTTCCGCATTAACGGTTTATCAGTGAAAGTTCTGTTATACTTACATGGTTTATCTGGCATGCTAAAAGTTTTACCCAAGGGCTATCCATAATTACTTATTGAGTTATCTCATAGTTTTCCTTGTCCACCATTTCAGGAAGCGATACTGAGGATGGGGGAAACCGAGGGGAGTGACGAGTTAGAAGGCTAGTCACCTGGAATTTGATATAGATTTTAGATACAGATTATGATTCTGTAAGCTAGAGTGTATTTAGAGATTTTATGATATCAGAGCAAATTGTAAAAATTTTATCTTGAGATTTGGTGGTATCAGATTATGAATTGGATAAGTTTTGAGCCTTGTGCATTCGTGGAACTCGTCTCACGAGTGCACGGCGTCTGTCGCGTCTCCGGATTTGGGTTATGGGGCGTGACAACTATTTTTTCATAAAATAATAACTAAGAATAGTTAGAAATAGGGTTCTATATTTCTTAGGCCCATACCAACATGAATAATGCAAGGCTTCTTGT